TTGAAGAGTAGCCCCCTCTCTCAACTCTTTTTGACAACCCCCGGTTAAATTACGCCTTTATTGAATTTTGTATGTGGATTTATGTTGTTGTTTTTTTTAACCCAAAAGTAGAATTCGCCGGTCTCTTGTCCACGCACAATGCGTCTGGTGCGCGCAAGCTGTTGTGCGTCTCCGTCCCAGACTCTGTGGATCGCCTGTCTTTGATGATGGCGACATCTGGTGGTGCAGCGAGGACACTGCGGGTTAAAGCGAACTCTCCCTCCTTGTCCCTGGATTCCTTCCGTAGCTTACCCGTTTGCTGTCGCACTTTCTCTGTAACTTACTGAGGAGAAAAAATAAAGACAGTCTCTGCGGGAATATCTGTTTAACGCCGTATCGATGCCACTATGGACTCCTGTGAACCGCAGCTAATCGATGACTGCCTGATTCAAATTTTTACATTTCTTACCCAGGAAGATTTAATTAATGTTTCAAGTGTGTGTAAGGTAAGGAGTGTCCACCATGCGGAAGTAGCGCCAAAATAACAAAAATTGTGACTTGTGTCTGATTGCAAATCTGTATTTCAGGATTGGCATGAAGCTGCAGAGACTCCTTGGTTATGGAGGTGATTTGTTTGCCAGTTTTATAACATAAAGCGTGATATTAAAAGTCGATGGGCGTGGAAATCGTGATAACGCGCATGTAAACATTGGACTGTGTGCTCTCCTCAGGAGGATGTGTCTGCAGCGCTGGGGTTTCTGTAACCTCGCAGTCTTGGGGAGTGAACAGGCGAATCACTCCTGGAAGAGATACTTCCTGCGACGATCCCACTTGGAGAAGAACATGACGAAAGGTCGCACAGGAGGCTATACCTGCAAAAGCCTCAGGGGGCACACAGGTGTGGTCTGTATGTGTGTGCGCGTCAATGGAGTCTCCTTTACATCATTGTTAGTATAGTTAACTAGAGCTAAACTAAAAGAAGGAGGGCAAAATATTTTAGCTAACAACAATTTTTTAAAAAAAAGAAAGAAAGTGGAGTAAATGAATAAATATCAGGAATCAACTTTAAACACTGAAAAATGAAATTAAGCTGAAAACAAAATAAAAGTAAAATAATCTTGTATTAATCTTGACTGCTGAGGAAAATGTCCGTGCCTTTTACATGCTCAATGCAATAAAAATAGAAACAGCCAGTATAGTGACAGCCAGGATTGTCAATCACTTCAAACTTACCAATCTCAGCCTGGAAAGGATCAAACTCTTACAGTTGGAGTACAACTATAAAGATTATACAGTGCAGTATCTCATATATGAGAACCTTGGTGTAAAAGGGAGAAAGTGTCATTAATGGATGGGGTAAGAAGTAATTACAGATAATCCAGTAACCACCACAGCTGGAAAAGCTCCCTTGTAGCGCTCAGTCCTGCAGCGAGCCCGCGGATGATGCTGAGGATTTTCCTCTCAGACACCTCCGCCACAGGCTCAAGTTCCACCCCCAGAAGATGACCAGCCTTCTGGGTCATCTGGATCAGTTTGCTGGCACAGCTGCTTTCACCCCGCTGCCCCGGCATACTGCTGCATTAAAAAAAAGTAAACGTAACAACATACTTGCCACCATGGAGTGACAGAATATACACAACTCTGCAGATTGTGAGAATGTTATTAAAACATACAGTTTATAATTATCTTTATTTGTCAACAAAATAGGCACAAAGAAGTCGACAGTTAATCACACATTTGTGACGTAAAACCCGTTATGAGCTTATTAAATCTACCCCTAAAGACAAAAATACTCAAACTTTGTTTATTTAAAAAAAAAAATTTAAACTGCAAAACGCAAATTAGCAACTGATCTGTAGAAACTAACTTAACTCAAACTAAAAATAAAACCAAAATTAAAATAAGTTAAAAAAAATAGCAAAACAAAAATGTGACAATTCAGGCTTGCATGCCGTTCTTTATGTCTATTTTCTTTGTCTGTGGTCTGTTTTCCTTTCCATCAGGCCGGGTTGTGGGGTTTGTTTACCTAAAGGCAATTTCAAGCCAGCTTCCAGATTTCTGGAGCCACAACGCCACAGTCTGCAGTGCTTCTTCTGATGGGACGGTCCGAGCATGGAACATCCAAAACGTCAGTGCTAGAAGTATCTGCACCATTGCAAAGTAGTGTCTTATTTTTATCTGCTTAACATAAATTGTGCATTCAGCTAGATAAATATTGCCTTTGCTTTAAACTTCTGACTTAAATTGAATTTCTGACAGGAAACATATCAAATCTGAACATTATGTGTCAAATCCTGGTCTTTTCTGTCCGTACTGAAGCTTGGAGGATACATTTCTAATAAGTCATGAGGTTTTATTGTTTGTTTTTTAGATCTTCAGTGCCACAAAGTTAACGCAGAAATACTACACGTGCTGTACTGTTCTGTAACAGTATATATCTTTATTGCTGAGCCAAAATCTCTCCGACGGTTCTCCTGTATTGTTTGAAAGTCTTCTGGGAGAAATGTTTGTCACTTAGGCAGTAACACACAGTTGCACCCTTTTTTTTCTCAGGGTGAGCCCCTGTGGTGTAGTCCTGTACAGAGTCCTCTGATGAAGATTTTAAGTGATGAACAGCATGAAGTTGTGATCACAGCAGATTCTCAGGGCCTGATTAAGACCTGGCAAGGCCAAACTGGCCAGGAGTTGGCCTCCTTTTCTACTTCCTCATCACACTGTACACTGCTACAGTACAACATAGACAATGATTGGTTTCTAACCGTAAGTAACCACAGCATTTCTAAGTTTCTTATTAGAAAATGAAATACAATCATTTTAAAGTAAGATTTATTATATTGCCTTCCAGGTTGGAACTGGTCAGGGATCTGTGTGTACACTAGCAGGTCCTTCGTTGACTAAAAAGTCCAGTATTATAGTGTATGACACCTTTAGTGTCAACATACTCCTCGCTTCACCTGACAAGAAATGGATCACAGCTGGAACTACGGAGAATAACGATTTTTTTCCAAAGGTATTTGTTTATATTGTCTTCAGCGGCTCTGCTGTACGCTGATTCTTTTACCACATTACCTCTGTATAAGTGACTCATGTAGAAAATATATGTTGCACAGTTGGAGTAGTCAAAAGCATTTATAGATATAGAGTTCTGCATTTTGTGTTTTGTTTTTTTTCTGCTAGGTGTTTTACACTGAGAGTTTGACCTCTCCGTCTGAGGATGAAGAGCCCCTTTGCCAGTCTGTGCCAGTCATTGGGTGCCGGGCTGCTGTCTTCATACCCACCCAGCCTGCCAGACTGGCTGTCCTTCACCACAACGACCTCGAACACAAATATGATATAACCATCTTTGATATCATCATGAAAAAGACTAAGTACAAATCCGAGATCATAGGTGAGGACTCAGATATGTGCACACTAACTAGTTAAAGTCAGACTTTAAAACACAAAAAGGAAAACTCTTTACAGCCACTGCAGGTACTTGAACATATGCAGTTTGATGTATTTGTCGTTTTGAGTTTTGCTTACTTCCTCGAATAATAAAAATTCCATGATTTCAACACATATATAAGATAAGTAGATTAGAATAAAGTGTTAAAGCAAACTGTGTATCTATGTTTGTTTCTGAACACAATATTGGTGAGTGATGTTTCAGGGACAAAAAAGCCCGACATGCCAAGTACAGCACTCACTGCAACTTTGAAATACCAGAAAGCAGCGCACCCACAGATCCGTTTTAAAGGCGGTTTTTCAACTGGAAAAAATGATGTACCAGTCTTATTGCTGTAATTTTAGATCCACATGTTAAGCCTAGACTTTCTTATATTTTCTTAAATATTTGCCTTGTACAAGTGTAATCTGAGTCTCCTTTACATTTTAGTCCAGCAGGTCGAGTCTTTCCCCTTGACACTGAATGCCTTGTCCTCAAACATCCTCCTAGCAGCCAAGGATAGCAACTGCATAGTCCTGGCAGCTGGTGAACAACTATGGGTTTACTCACTGAAAGGAGTCATGCTTGCTAGCTTTAAAGAACATACTCTGCCAATCTCTTCCATATGTGTGGTAGGCTGTTTCCTCATTTGGAATTCAGAGACATTCCCATTAGCTGCTGAAATTCTTGATTTAATGCCGTACATAATACCATTTTTGTGAAAAGTTCACAATATTAGTGCCTGTAAATGATCGGTTTATGTTGTTTTCATGTTGCAGGACAGTTTTCGTGTTGTAACAGCATCCAAGGACCTTTCCTTACGAGTGCTAACCTGGAAAAATGACAGAGACTATGGGTTGACACTGGAGAGCCGATACCACTTACTAGGAGGCTCTCATACAATGTCCAGGTACTGTAAGCTGTGGTCTTTTAGTATCCCTTCTGTATCAACACTATCCATGCCATTTTATCATCAATAATTACTGAAAACAAGCATGTCTTTGACATTATGACCTGAGTATCACATAATATTTACACCATACTCTGTTCCAGAGGGTTTACTCACGTCGCCTGTGACTACTCCAGCATTGTGGCATCGGTTGAAGGGAATGATGGAAAAGATGTCCTAAAAGCATATTCCTTCAATGCCTGAGCATCACAGCCTCACAAAAGTGCCTGCATTTAGTTTGCACCACTCACTAGAGGGATCAACATTTCTTTTTTTGTTATATGCATTTTCTTTGGTAGCACTATGCTTATAATATAAATGAAAGTAATACAGTTAAGGATCCCTGTGGTACTTATGAGAAAGGCATCAGTAGTATTGTGTTGTGAGAAGTCTGTATAAGTGTAAGATTTGTGTTTGAGCGCTACGCTTTTAGAGCTGAGGTATGTGTTGAATGTGACCAGGCTTACGGCCCAGCATACTTAAAGAATACAGTATTCTCATCAGCTGTTTTTCACTATGTTATTTGGAATCTACTGAGGCAGGTTAACATATAAATGTTTATATTACACATTAAACAACTTTGACACAAGGCACAAAAGCATCCTTATCTTTCCACAGTGTCAGTGCACCAAACATAGATTAGTGGCTATATATTATGTTACAGGGAAGGGAGACGTGGGCGTCTCATCTGCTTCTACTGCAGATCTCATGTCCTCAAGAATACACCTTAAGACTCTGATCATGGACTCGTGCACTTTGCTGCTGTCCTCTGAATTAATATCCACCTGTTAAAACACAAACGTGATTCTTGAGTTGTCAGAACAAACTAGAAGCCGTACATGAACTGAATTATTCAATTGATCACAAGTGATTCAGTGTGTTGGTTTTTGTTACCCAGGTGAAAGCCTTGATAGTACGATTCAGGAATGTATTTTCAATCTCCTCTGGTATTTTCAGCATGTGAGCCATGCAATCCAATATGCATGTTAATGTTTCTTTAGGGGCCTAAGAGAAGATGACAAAGAGGATTACACTAAGCACTTTGGAGCAATTTAATGTGATACTGCTTTTGTATTAAATCTTAAACTGCACACACTCACCTGATCGAGTGTGTTTAGGATCGTTTGAGCATCCGTCTCGTCGGGGTTCAGGGCTTTGGCATCCTGAATAGAGATGACTGGCTCTTTAAGCTGCTCTAGCCACGCCCACATGAGTCCAGTGAGGATGAAGGGATCTCGCTCCATGCACAGCCTTTCCCATGCACCTCCTTGATTTAGCTCTGCCTGCATACGTGAATACACGTGTTTCTGTATTAATCCATTTCAAGATTGAGTGGGTTTCTGTTATTCTATCATTATTATCACTATTTTGTCACACAGGAAAAAACTATACATGGCAAAGACAAAAATGCTTTGGGAGTGGCTTTGAACAACACTCCATGCAGGTGTGGCTGTGAACTGCATACAGACAAAGCATTGTGGAACTAAGCTACATGCATGCTTTCTTTTTCTGCTATCACCACTCTAATACTAATGTGAGTTAAATACCTGCCAAGTCAAAACTTTTCTGTTGTGTTCCTCATGCCCATCGACAAAAAGGTCCACTGCCAGAGCTTGTGCCACAAGCAATCTCCTGGAATCCAGGGACAACTCTGACTGCAGGGTGATAAATGGCACCTCTGATTGTTCCTCTTTACCTTGAGATTTCACCCCATTCATTCCTAGCTCTTCCCTCTGCTCAGCCTTCCATCTGGACAATATGCTACCCTTTTTGGTAGGTTCATTGTTTCCTACTGACTCGCTACGTTGGATTGTTTTCCTCTTCACTTTCTTCAGCAGAATGGCTCCATCTTTTTGGTTTTCCTCATTCTTAACGCACCAAAGTGAGCCTGTTGAGTTGTGGGAGGTATCGGATGTGTTGCTACTACAACCATGAGACTGGGAAGCGGGGAACTCAGATAGGCAAATGAACATTTCAATATTGCTCTGTGACAGGGAGGTCAGAGGATGCGTGAGAAGGTTCAGCTCTGACCCCAACCGTCTCAAGTCGGACTCACTGTAGCTCAGACTTTTACGATGGTAGAAGATGGGGGGCTCGTTAAAATGTCTTGGTAAAGTGGGTGAACCTGGTAAGCGGGGTTCCTTTATATCAATATCCATCTTCTCGATAATGCTGAGACACATTTCAATGTCATGGATATCAGGGGCCTCCAGAATATCTTCCTCAATCACCTGTCGATTCTCTGCAATGTCCAGCAGCAGCCTAGACACTAACTTAACAATCTTTGGCAGGTGCCTCAACTCCTTCCTCTCATAGCCATGCAGCATATGTCTCTGACGGTTCAGGTACTGGGACAGAGTAACTGGATTGGATCGAGGCTCAGCACAGGAAAACACACTCCTTAAGGGGTTAAGGAATTGAACAAACTGTCTGACACAACGCAGCTGACCTCGGGTTTGGATGGAATTAGGGCGTTTGGCACGTACATATAAAATAGCCTGGTTGGCTGTCATTCTAGTAGCATAGGCCAAAAAACATGCTATCAGAACACCTGGAGGGTCAGAAAAGACATTTTGTTACCTCTGTGTAGTGTGCAGATGAAAGATTTTACCATTTCAAACAGATTTTATAGGGAACTACACGCAAAGCTACCTGTTCTGCCGAGACCAGCGTGACAGTGGATCGCTATTTTTCCCTCTTGCAGCGCAAAGGCCATGACCTTCACCATGTCCAGCACAGTGCTGAGGCTGGCCACGCCATAGTCACTCCAACCAAAATTATAGAAATAAACTGAAATTGCAAAATGTTTTTGGTTAAATTTACTGAACTCTACACTGCTGAATCAGGAATTTCATAAAGCACTTACTGTTATTTTCCATGAAGACCTCAGGGAGGTATGAAAACCCACTCTGTAGCTCCAGTGGATTGCCACAGCTAGCATGTTCACCAGGGATCTGCAAGTTGATCACTGTTTTAATACCATTCCTTCACACACACACACACACACACACACACACACACACAGAGATAGAGAACACTTCATTAGTCTTATTTCATCTGAGCATTCTCAGATAGATGTTGAAAACTGCTGACCGCAAAGTTTCGTATACCTTCTGAACTGATCAATAATGTTATACTTCTCAATGATTTCTGTTGAAGGTCTGGACATGGCAAGAAGGTGATCAGTAATCCTACAACAACAGTGGAGTGTATGTTACATAGCAGCCACCTTTCTCAGTTTACCTAACAGGACTTCAAAGAGACATTAAAATTGAAAACATCAAACTCAAACAGAGAATTCTGGTAAATTAACTACTGAAGCACAAAGATTGCCTACCAGGATGAGTAGAGGCCCCTAATGGCCTGTTGGTCATCACTCCAATAACTTGGATTGTCATACTTGCAGGCTTGACCTCCACAACCGATTGAGCACTGCATATGCCCAGGGACAACATAACGTATGGCTTCTCCTACCATTGTGTACTTTGATCTGGGGGCTCTGACTGCAGTTATTATAGAAAAATAAAAGGGAAAATAATAAAAAAATATAATATCACACATTCATTTATTTTAAGCTTCCTTTGCTTAAATCTGTTCTCTAAATGTAAATCAGAGTTATTTGATTAGAGATTTGATTAGCGATAGTGTCAAAATCCTTTAAGAAGTCTCAAATACACAACTGTTGCACAGCACAGAGATTGTCAAATGTAGGCTGTACTGTAACACCTAAATAGTTAAGATCATCAGTGCTCACTTATAAGTGTTTAATCCTTGGTTGGCATTGCAAGTTATCAGCGCGTTGCAGTAAAAATAGCTACTGTTCTGGCATGACTTTGATGTGGCTTTATTAGTGAAGTAAAAATACAACTGTAGCTCATCAGTTAATAACATTTTAGTTATTAAACTGAAGGGTTTGCAGCATTTGTACTATACTTACTGTATTCCATCAGAAATCCACCTCTTGTCTTTGCATGGGATGCCATATGAACAGTCACTTAGGCTGACGGTCATAGCAGAGCCTTGATCATGGATTCTAGAAAAATATATCTCATAAATAACTGGATGTCAAAACTCATAATCATGTATGACTGATACTGAGAGAACAAAATATTTTTAGATGTAACATGTTACAGAGAACTGTTTTCAGCAACAGTCAAAGATCAACATCATAAGTCACTTGCAGTCAAATGTAAAGCATATTAAACAGTTTCAAAGGATTTACCATCAGCCATTGTTAGCTTTTTCTCCCCCTTTTACCTCATCATATTACAGAATTTATTCTTACCCCTTAAAACCAGCATGCAGAAGAACCAAATGTCAAACAGCTTCAATCAATCAAACAATGAAAACTAAGTAAATAAAAAGAAAAATATTAAATCAGTTATTTACCTTCAGCAGTTGACTCACGAACATTCACAGCTGCTAGTGCCACCATTTCTGACATCAACCTCAACAGCTCTGACTGGCATCTTTCCATCCCCGGCTCTGCGTAAAGTCAATCCTGTGGCCTTACTTTATTTGATTCGTCGCAGATTATCTCCTGTGGGGGCAATACAAGTTCCCCTCGATCCTGTGTGCTCCTTTGTGAGAATCTATCTATCCCACCAGACCGGGAATAAATAAATATGTGATATGTTTTGAAAAGAAGCAGAGATTGTGTCCCAACTAGTTACGTGTACAAGATCCTTAGCCTGAATGTAAGGATATTCTTGACTCCTCCCAGATTAGACTACTAATCTTATCAGGAACGGGTATAAAAGAGAGCCTCTACTCCTCAACAGAACACTAGCCACATTTGCATTGCCTTCTAATGATCTAATGCAAATTTTGCTTTTTAGTACACACATAATATTCTCGTAACACCTGACCAAACTGGATTGCACTATGTAGACTATGCATTTTATTAACTATAAGAACATTTTTAGATGTGAACAGACATAAAGAGATTTCTAATATCAGTACACTTAAGCTTCCAAACTCTGCTGTGACAAATAGTAGGATCATAGTGGCATAGCAAGTTGGTAAAATCTTATTGGCTTATCTTGCTAAAGCTGGTTAGCTTCAGGTTAGAGAGGAGAGATCAGTTTATTGTGTGGAGCTTTTCAAGAGACTGCAAAGGCAACAATCTCAATTTAATGTAAAATGCTGCTGTTCATAACACAGTCAAATGTGACTAAAACATTATTGACTTGATTATATCTAAACTAAAATTGTTTATTGTGTGAAGTGGGTTTTAAAATTTTCAGCATATATTAATGCACCACTGTCATTCAAATGGCTGCATCAGTGTGCATAAACACTCTATTTTCACAAGGTTTTATATTACTTTTTACTATTTTCTTTGTGTTTATGTGAGTAAATAAACAATACGAGTAATGAGTAATATTTTAAATAACATCTAAAAATGCATTTTTAAATTTTCTGTTACTCCAATACACCAAATCCACCTGTGCGGTCTTGAGCATGTGACAGTGGAAAAAGGAGAAAGGTGTTTCAAATTCATGACATCAAATGTCAATAAGGCGAAATCCGGGTGAGTTTGATTATCAATGCATAATCCCAGTAATACAGTCAAGTGTAAAGAAAAATATTAGAAGCTGTCACATAAATGTATTGAACTTTTCACCTCCAGGAGTAAAATATTATCAGTCAGGTTGCTTTTTTGTTTTGTTTTTTTAAAATCCAGCAATGATATTGTTCCAACTTAATGAAATCACTGTTTCTGGTCACAAGTGACAAAACAAGTGACTGCACGACACAAGACATGTCTTGTGATCCCTTCAAACAAGCATGTGATGCTTAGATTTAATCTACACACTCTTATCTCCAACCATAAACATAACAGGTCCTTTTCAGTCAATTCTGAAAAAGCTAATTTAACAGAGTGCACTTCAGTCAGAAACCAGCTCTGCCACAAGCATTAAAGACTGGATTTACAATAAGCTTACAAATCTGGTTTATAGGTGAAGAAGAATACAGGGGATGGAAGAAACAGTCACAGTAAAAATGAAATAACTTACCATAAAATCCTCCATTACATGCAGTTTTCTTGTATTCACATAGTTTTTTGAGAAAACATAGATAATGTATTTATGTACAGTGCCTCTGTGTATTTAAGGTGATAACTAACATTAATACATTCACATAAAGAGACGTTATTATGCTTTTCCTTATTTTCCATCATATATACAATCATGTGGGGAAAAAAAAAGGTTGTTGCAGAACTCTGTGCAGTCCTGTGAAAAACCAAGACTACCGCACAATTAAATAACTTGTGGGTCACCTTCAGCAGCAATAACATCAACTAAACATTTTATACATGACCTTATCACCTTATCACCATATCATCTCACATCTTTGCAGAGGAATTTTGACCTACTCTTCTTAATAACATTGCTTTGGTTCATGGAGGTGCAGGTATTCATTTATGAGCAGCCCTGTTGAGGTGCTGCCACAACATTTTAATCATGTTGAGGTCTGCACTTTGACTGGGTCATTGCAACACATTGATTTTTTAAAACGTTTTCCGCCCTTGTGTTGTAGATTTGCTTCTGTGCTCGTACATTGTCCTGTAGCACGACCCGCTTTCAGATAAGCTTAAGCTGTCAAACACATGGCCTCACATTTGACAGCATAGTCAATGACTGCAAGGTGTCTGGGTCCCGTGGCTGAAAAACAAGACCAAATCATCACCACTCCACTACTGTGCTGACAGTTAGTATGAGGTATTATGGTGTGTTTGGTTTTCAGCAAATGTGGGGCTGGGCATAAAGATCTCTTCTTTCTGAAAGGACGACTTCTTTCAGAAGTCTTCTGGCTTTCTCTGAAGCATCTGTGCAAACCTAAGCAATGCTGCCATGTTAGAGAGCAAAAACCTTTTCCTGGTAACACTTCCAAAAATGCCATACATCCTGTCTTTTTCCAGTTGCATTTTCATGAACTTTAACTATACTAACTTCTGAGGGTTTTTTCTGCTCTTAAGTCTGTATCAGATCATAGGAGTTAAACCCTCCTACTGTACAAAGCCTTTTGTTTTATGCAAATTTGCTCTAGGGATGCACTTTGCTCAATGGCAATAGATATTGTTCGCAGACAGACAAAACAAAGATCAAACTGTCAAACATCAATGAAAAAAGTTACATTTATGAAGCAAGTAGTAAAATAGCTAGTTTTGTTTTAGTGTACATGGCACGTTCTTTGTATGGAAGAGAATAAGAGCCACGTTTTTTCTTTCCAGAATTCTAAGAAAAAAAAATTCTGGAAAAGAAAAAAAAGGGATGTGCCCACTTTTTCCTCTTCCGTAGCTTTGCCAAGAGAGTCAGCATCCTATACCGTTTATTCGAATACTCAGTTTTTCCTACAGATGGCAGCAGATATACATGTGTCCGCCGCTACAGGTCAGCAGTTAGCCCGCCTGTTCGTTGTATTTCTATGACAACAAACGGTTTGGATAAAGATTTCCGTGCTCCACATAAGCAAACTAAAAGGCATTATGGGAAACGAGTTCTTTCGTGGGATTGCCAGGCCAGTTTGCTGGCTTCACCTTCTACAAGTACTAGATTTCCCGACAGGCAGTGGGAGCGGGTGGGCGTTTTCCCAGCTGATAGCGTAGGTGCATCTCATTAAACCAAACGGACCATTCAGCTGTTTTGAACAAGCGTGACAAACTAGCGGAAGAGAAGAAATGTGATCTTCAAAATAAAGCACAAAAACGCGCATATTATGTGACAGCATCAATCATTTTCTATATGTTTTATACACTCAAAATATGTCTGTCCTTTCTTCTTTTTTTATTACGCACACAAGGCAAAACAAATCAGCTATCACACATGGTAAGGAAGTTATTTTTCCTCGCCAGTGCTTTATTTTGAAAGAAAGAACCGGATTTGCATACACTTTCTCTCGCCTTTGCAATTGGTATTCCTGCTCTCCGCACTGTCGCTCCGACAAGCCGGGAGAACGGAGAAGAAAACGCAGGAGCGCAACGATGGAGCGTCTGTAAGCAGTAACAGCGGACTCCGCTGACGAAGATAACTGAACGGAGTCATCTACATGACCAAAGAAACAAGACCGGCAACAAGAAACGCAAACGTAACAATCATGCAATTTAAATACAGAAGAATTTGAGCAACCGCTCCTTCTTCAAGGTTACACCGCTTGAAGACGCCCTGACATCATCCTGTCGCAGATCAGCTTGGTTGATCTTCACCGGTGGCGATCATGTCCGTGGAAGAGCAGGGATACCCCGACGCTGTGCTGTTGATGGAGGCCGGCCCGGAGTGGTTGCGAGCCGAGATCGGGCGTCTCTCCCGGGAGCTGAGTGAGACCACGAATGAGAAGATCCAGGCGGCAGAATACGGGCTGGCGGTACTGGAAGAGAAGCAGCAGCTCAAGCAGCAGTACGAAGACCTGGAGATTGAGTACGAGGCCGTCCGACAGGAGCTCGATCAGCTAAAAGAGGTAGGCAGTGTATTAAAACAAATGAAATAAAATCACAGAATATGTAAAGATTAGAATGTCATCCAGGATTAATAGGCCCCTAACATAAACTATAAAACTATAAAAATTCTATTCAAGAGTACATATTAAGAGCACATTGTCATTTTCATTGGATGTGCAAACTCGCCACTATAATATTCAATATAGGGGCTTACGGTGATTTAATGTGTCATTAGGCCAGGCATCTGCCTCTTCCTACAAGGTCAAAACTGTAAGCAGAGGAAGGGATGCTTTCTGTTCCCCACCCCCTCCATACACAGCACAGGGTATTCCCCATTTGACTGCCACTTTTATTTATTTATGCTGCAGCTCTTAGGCCCCTTCTTCAAGACATTCATGTCTGGCTCAAAGCTAGAATAAGTCCAGTGTGTTTCCACATACGTTTATCTAATCAGTGCTTATCACGAGCAGATTTCCCAAGTGTACAATTAAGATTTTTAGTTCAGCAATACTTGTTGAGTTGTGTTAAGTACCAGACATAAAAGCAGTGCACTGAGATCCACAGATTGCTTGTTAAAGTTTTCTGTGTAGTCAGGCGAGTCCTGCAAACAAGAATATCTTGTTAAGCAGGGAAAAGGCGGGAGTACGTTTGAATTTTGAACCTTCCCGCTTAACAGAGGGATGAACAAATTTCAGAGGAAGCCAGATGAGTTGTGACCCTTTGGGGGAATGGAAAGAATGTTGAGTGCAATGGTTCAAGCTGGTCTTGAGAGTCAGATAAAGGGTGTGACTGTTTTTCTGAACAGTGGTCCTACTTATTCCCTAACGTCATATCACACCGTGTCCATTTCTTCGCTGGAGTAGCAGTTTGTCACTGCGTTGTGATTTTAGATGGAGAGAAGTATGACTTCAGAGCAGTTTGGCGCAAAAGTCCCTCCAGCTGCTGTGTACCTCTCATTCTTCTTTCTCTGCCCACTCATGGTAAAAAAAAAAAAGTTTCCGGCACTGAGGCGGGCTTATTCATAGTTGCTCACATCCTCCTTTAATATGGATTCTTCTTGTGTCCCCCTCCACTAGGCAAAACAACTAAAATGTGTGAGAGTGTCCTTCGTGATAAACCCTTTAGTGCCTTGCCAGATCTCTGCTCATTGCTTCCTTTGCATTTGGAGACACATGCAGAGATGTTTTCCAGCTCTCTGCTTCTCCCTCTTGTTTCTGCCTGTCTTCCTGTGGCCCA